AATAATACTTATATAGTTTAACGACTTAATTAATTCGATCGATAAAGATATAAATATTATCTATTATAGAATTAAATATTTCTAATTCTTCTTCTCTTTAGCGATTTATTTCTTCTTTATTTATATAAGAATTTATTTCGAATTATAAAGATATATAATATAAGAGCGAAAAGTCTTAAATAGTTAATAGCTACGATATAATAGAAGAAGTTTAAATAAAGCGCGTATATCGCGAAGTCGTAATTTGCTAATAATTAGATCTATTTCTAGCTTTAAGATTTATTAATTTAATATTAAGTCTAGTCTCGATAATCGTTATAGTTTAACTAATAGCTTATTCGACTACGTTATTAATTAATACTTTAACTAACGTATTAATTATAATCTATAAAAACGTAGTTTATTCGATTATAAAACTCGATATAAGATTTAGATTTAGCTAATATATAGATTAAATAATTAATAACTTATCTTTATACTTATTAACTATTATAATATTACGCTTAAAAGATATTATAAATTCTATTAAAAGGTTTAATATAAGGCGAGATTAATAAAGTCTTAATTAGATGCTAGACGAAGGCGAGATAAGCGTCTAAAAGACTTTAAAGATACTATACTCGATAAGAGTAATATTCTCTATATATTTCTTTAATAATAAGTATTATAAGATTTATATAAGTATTAGATAAAGGCGAGATAGACGTCTAAGAAACTCTAGAGATACTATATTCGATAAAAGTAATATTCTCTATAGATTTCTCTAATAGTAAGTAATATAGGATTCGTATAGATATTAAATTAAGGCGAGGTAGGCGAATATAACAAGAACAGCTAGTGCTAGGCCTGAATCGACCGAGATATTACTATTATTATTAAGAAATAATTCTAAGTAAAATTATATATATAAATAATATATATATAATATAATAATAATAAACTATATAGATCTATAGTAAAAGAAGTCTCTATAGTATTATAGTATTAAGATACTAAGTCTAATCGAAACGCCTAGTAAAGGAATCCGTAATAAAGAGTATAATTAATAATTATTAGATAATAAATTTATAAGTATTAACGAGTTAATTTAAATTTATAAGTAAATAAATATTAAATATAAGTATTAAATAATAGATAATAATAAGTCTCTTATTATTAAAAAGCTTATTTAATTATATAAGTTAATAATAAATAAGCGAATATAATAAAATAAAATATAAATATTAATTAGATTAGATATATTTCTAGATAATATTTATACTATACGCGTATTTCTTTATACTTATTATTATTAAAATATTAATTAATTAAATAATTATATTATTTAATTATCTATTAAACTTTACTATAAAAAAAATATATTATATTAAAATATATATTATTAATATAAATATATTTTTATCTAGAGTAATTATTAAAGAATTATTTAAGAATTTTACGCTAATATTATTATTAAAAAAAGATTATTATTTAAATATTTTTCGCTATTTTATTATTAAATCTTAAATTAAATTTATTAATTTATTATTTTAATAAAAAGATAATTAAAGTATAATCGTCGAGTTAATATTTATTAATATTCGCTATATATCGATAAAGGCTTTTAAACTTCTTTTTTAATAACTTATTTATTTTCTTTAATTTCGCTATATACTTATTTATTATTATAAATTAATTTTAAAAATTTATAATTATAATAAAGATAGTTAAAGCTATTATTATTATATATTTTTATAATTTATATTATTAAGTAATCTCTTTATTAAGCTTAATCTATTAATAAGATATTTATTAAAATTATTTAACGCGACGATAGCGCTATATTAATTTTCTTATCTATATTTAAAAATATAAAGGAATTTTAATATAGCGATTAATATTATACTTTTCGATTTTATAATTATTATAAAAGAGAGATTTATTTTAAATATATAAATTATTATTTTAATAAAAGTAAGTCTTATATAATAAATTAGATATTAGAATTTATTAATAATTATATATATAAAGCGATAGTAATAGAAATAGTTAGAGATTAGTAATCGCGTCTATAAGACGATTATATACTTATTATTAAAGTTATTATTATTAAAGTTATTATTATTAAAGTTATTATTATTAAAGTTATTATTATTATTAAAAAAGAATATTATAAAATAATTAGTCTATATATCGATATAATTAATAATAATAAGATATTTATAGTAAAGAGAGATAGATTACTAATATAATAAGATATATTATATTTATATTAATATTAATATTAACGTTATAATATTAGAATAAATACTTATAAAAGAGACGTTAGAAGTTATAAAGAATAAAAATAAATAATTTAAAGAGAGTTTTTATATTCTTTATCGTAGTATTAATATTAGCGAATAATATTTAATAACGTAAATATTAGTAATATAGTAATATTTCGCTATTATCTATAGAGCCGCGTTATCTAATTATTATTATTATTTTTATTATTAATTAATAATTAAGAGCGTTATCGCGAACGCGTTACTCTATTAATTACTCTTTTTAAATAATTATAATAAAGATTATTATTATATTACTTCGCTATTAGTCTAATATATTATAAAAATAATATTACTTATAAAGAAACTCTTTTATTTTCTTTTATATATTAAAGTTTTAAAAGTTTATTATAAATTTTTAAATTAAATATTTATTCGCTATAGAGATTATTAATTAGCGCTATAAAAACGCTAATATTAAGCGTATTAGCTTATTATAAATTATTATTAATTAATATTATAAAAGTAATATTATTCTCGAGAGTAGTATTAATATTATTATATAATATATTAATAAGTAAAGACCTATAAATTAAAATTTATAAAGTTGAATTTTTCTAAGTTAAATTAAATTTTAGCCCTAGCTCTAAGTTAAATCGAACTCTAATCGCTTACTATACGTTTTTAATCTACTTTTATTACTATAAATTAATTTAATCTATATAATATATAGATATATATATGCGAAGAGAGGCGCGCTAAGGTTCAATTAGAAAGATATATTAAGTATAAAGAATTAATTTATAATAATTACTTATAAAAAATAGAGAAAGACTATATTCTTATAATAAGAAGTATTAAAATATCGAAAAGAAATAAAGATAATATATTAATTAGTAGTGTAAATCTTATATTATCTTCTATCGTAGTAAAATCTTTTAAATAATAAAATAGCTATTAGAGTAAGATATCGAACGATTTTAATTCGTTTAAATATATATTATTTAATATTTCTTCTATAAAGATTTAATTAATTATAATTATCGTAGTAGATTCTTCTTTTATAACGTTATTATAGTAATATATTATATTAATATAATAGAAATAATAGATTAAATTATAATAATATTCTCTACTTACTAAGTAATAATTTAATATAAAATTATAGAGAGTATATAACGTGAAATCTTAGAGAGCTAAGCTATATTCTTAACGATAGTAATCTTATTACCGCTTAATTTCTTCGCAGTATTCTTTATAGTATTCTTTATATTTATCTATTATAATTCCTTCTCTTACTTCTTCTCTTTTAAGAGCTTTTAACGCGTTTATAAATAGTAATAAATAGCTATTAAGCTCGCTTATAGCCTCGATTATTAATAGTAATAAATTTATCGAGAGATAATCTAAAGGCGTTAATAGGGGGTTTAAAAAATAAGCGAAAGAAATATATATTTTAGATATTTAGTAATATTTAGACGAGAGATATTAAAATTAAATATATTTATAATTAATAAATTAATAGAATTATAGAAGAAATATAATTAAAATAGAGTAATAAAGAATAAATAGAGAAGAACGACGCGTTTTAAGAGATAGTATCGCTGAGTTAAAAGATATTATCGCTAGTTTAAAAGAAATCTATAAAGAAGAACGTATTTATTTGAGCTCTTTTTAAGAGTTTTTTAATATATTTATAAATAGTAGTAGATAGCTATTAAGCTCGCTTATAACCTCGATTATTAATAATAGCGAATTTATTAAGAAGTAATCTAGAGATATTAGTAAGGGGTTTAAAAGATAAGTAAAAGAAATATATATCTAAAGCGTTTAGTAACGTTTTCGAAAGAAGTACTAAGAATAATTATATTTATATTAATAAATTAATAAAATAATAAAAGAAGAATAATTATATAAATAGATAAAAGAATTATTATTCGATCTTAAATATATCTAATATAACTATTATAATATTTAAATATCTATTTAATTTATTAATAGTAAATTAAATTTCATAATTTTTATATCGTTAGAAAATATAAACTAAGCTCTATAATTTACGAAATTATAAAATAATAATATCTATAAAGAGCTAATTATTTTAGAGTATAAAACTTCTATATATAAATTTTTAATAAGAAAGCTTAAAAGAACTAGCGGGCTAATTTAGTCGATTTAATTAAAGAGCGTAATAACTCTAAATTTATAATTAACTATATATATAAATTTAAGATTTTCTAATTTAATCTTATCTTATTCTTTTATATATATTAATAACGTATTTATAATATATAATAATTAATTCTATCGCGTCGTTAAAATAATATTATAATAAATTAACTCTTTTTTCTTATTTCTCTATTAAGATTTAAAGATTTTTTAATAAATATTTTACTGGCCGGAAAGGTATGGTATGGTATGGGATATTGACCTGCCATACCATACTCTGGTATGGTATGGGATATTGATATTTGCATGATCCCATACCTGGTATGATATGGGATCTTGGCGGGATATCCCACGGTATGGTATATCTGTGGTATCATACCATGGTATGGTATATGTATGGGATATCCCGACTGGGATTTCTATATTCTCGTCATCATTCTGATCAACGGCTCGATAAATCCGACATAATAGCTACTACTACCATGGCTGCCACTACCATGACTACGACTACCATGGCTGCCACTACCATGGCTGCCCCTACCATGGCTACCCCTACTATGGCTACCTACCATGGCTACCACTACCATGGCTACCCCTACCATGGCTGCCCCTACCATGGCTACCCCTACCATCCTACCATGGCTACCTACCATGGCTACCACTACCATGGCTGCCACTACCATGGCTGCCACTACCATGGCTACCACTACCATAGCTACCTACCATGGCTACCTACCATGGCTACCTACCATGGCTGCCCCTACCATGGCTGCCCCTACCATGGCTACCCCTACCATGGCTACCTATTATGGCTACCTACCATGGCTACCACTACCATGGCTACCACTACCATATCTACCATCGAAATGTGGCCCCCGCGCATCCCAGCCACCATGTTTTCCAGCCACCTAATTTTGTACTATATTTAGGACCTGGCCCCGGAGAGGTTTTGGAGAATTGATCCGTCCGTTCTACATATCACATACCTGACATTTTAACAGCTACCACTACCATAGCTACCACTATCATGGCTACCACTATTTATTATTGAAATAGCCTACTATCATATGGTAGCCATGATAGTGGTAGCCATGGTAGGGGTAGCCATGGTAGGGGCAGCCATGGTAGGTAGCCATGGTAGGGGTAGCCATGGTAGGGGCAGCCATGGTAGTCGTAGTCATGGTAGTGGCAGCCATGGTAGTAGTAGCTATTATGTCGGATTTATCGAGCCGTTGATCAGAATGATAACGAGAATACTTCTAAATATAGAAATCCCAGTCGGGATATCCCATACATATACCATACCATGGTATGATACCACAGATATACCATACCGTGGGATATCCCGCCAAGATCCCGAACCCATACCAGAAAAATGGAATGGTATCCGACCCTACCCATACCATACCCGAGTACGGTATGGTATCACTTGGTATGGAATATCCCATGGGATATACCATACCTTTCCGGCCAGTAAGTATTTTATTTACTTAAGCGCTTAGAGATTAAAATTTAAAAGAGAAAATAATTATTAGATTTAATACTATTATAAATCTTAGCGCTATTTATATTAAAACTTCGATATTATATATATTATATTAGAGTTCTTTTTAGAGTCTAGTTTTAATAATATATCTTATATATTTAGAGACTTAACGAATATAGATTTACTTTATATATCTCGAAGTTTTAATATTTCTTAGAGATTAATTCTATTATTAAATATACTATTAAATCTTATAATAACTCTATATTTTTTATAGTCTATGCCCGCTAGCTAACTACTAGTAAACTATACTCTTATAAATAAGTCTCTTATTATTAAAGAGTTTACTTAATTATATAAATTAATAACGAGTAAGCGAATATAATAAAATAAGATATAAATATCGATTAGATTAAATATATTTCTAGATAATACTTATACTATATATATACTTCTTTATATTTACTACTATTAAAATATAAATTAATTAAATAATTATATTATTTAGCTATCTATTAAACTCTACTATAAAAAAATATATTATATTAAAATATATACTATTAATATAAATATATTTTTACTTAAAGTAATTATTAAAAAATTATCTAAAAATCTTACGCTAGCGCTATTATTAAAAAAAGATTATTATTTAAATATTCTCTATTATATTAGCGTTAGATTCTAAATCGAATTTATTAATTTATTACTTTAATAAGAAGATAATTAAAGTATAATCTTCGAGTTAATATTTATTAATATTTATTATATATTAATAAAAGCTCTTAAACTTCTTTTTTAATAATTTATTTATTTTCTTTAACTTTACTACGCGTTTATTTATCGCTATAAATTAATTTTAAAAATTTATAATTATAATAAAAGACGACTAAAGTCGTCGTTATTATATATCTCTATAATTTATATTATTAAATAATTTTCTTATTAAGCTTAATTTATTAATAAGATATTTGTTAAAATTATTTAACGCGATGATAACTTTATATATATTTTTTTTATCTATATTTAAATATATAGAGAGATTTTAATATAGCGATTAATATCGCGCTTTCTAATTTTATAATTATTATAAAAGAGAGATTTATCTTAAATATATAAATTATTATCTTAATAAAAATAAATTCTATATAATAAATTAGATATTAAAATTTATTAGTAATTATATATATAAAGCGATAATAATAAAAATAGTTAGAGGTTAATAATCGCGCTTATAAAGCGACTATATACTTATTATTAAAATTATTATTATTATTAAAAAAGTATATTATAAAATTATTAGTTTATATATTAATATAATTAATAATAATAAAATATTTATAATAAAAAAAGATAGATTACTAATATAATAAGATATATTATATTTATATTAATATCGATATCGATATTATAGCGCTAGAATAAGTACTTATAAAAGAGATATTAGAAGTTATAAAGAATAAAAATAAATAATCTAGAGAGGATTTTTATATTCTTTATTATAGCGTTAATATTAGCGAGTAGTATTTAATAATGTAAATATTAATAATGCGATAATATTTCGCTATTACTTATAGAGCTATATTATCTAATTATTATTATTATTCTACTATTATTATTAATTAATAATTAAAAGTATTATTATAAACGCGTTACTCTATTAATTACTTTTTTTTAAATATTTATAATAAAGATTATTTATTATATTACTTCGCTATTAACGTAATATATTATAAAAATAATATCGTCTATAAAAAAACTCTTTTATCTTCTTTTATTTATTAAAGTTTTAAGATTTTATTATAAATTTCTAAATTAAATATTTATTCGCTATAAAGACTATTAACTAGCGCTATAAAAATATTAATATTAAATATATTAATTTACTCTAAATTATTATTAATTAATATTATAGAAGTAATATTATTTTTAAAAGTAATATTAATATTAATATATAATATAAGTAAAGGCCTATAAATTAAATTTATAAAGTTAAATTTTTTATTTTTCTAAGTTAAATAAAGTTAGAATTTTTCTAAGTTAAATAGAATTTTAGCTTTAGTTCTAAGTTAAATCGAACTCTAATCGCTTACTATATATTTTTAATCTACTTTTATTATTATAAAATTAATAAAGAAGATAAAAGCTCTAATTCTAAGTTAAATCGAACTTTACTTACTTTTTATATAATAAATAATCTACTTCTATTACTATAGATCGCTAATTAATTATATTCTTATTTAAAAAAATAGTATTTACTTAATAATCTTATTCTTAATATATCTCGTTAGCTAAGTAGATTATCTTCTTAATAAATTATCTAAAGTTATAATTAATAAGTCGATCTTACTAGTAACTTAGCTTAGAGCTATATATAATTAATTATAAATAAAAACCTCGAAATATAGATATAGATTAATTTACTATAATAACTAACTCTAAGACTTATTAATTATTATATTAAAGGCTAATTAAATTAGAAATTAAATATATTAAAAGAAAGTATATAGATTATTTAAATTAGGCGAAGTTAGAGAAATACGTAATATATAATATTATTTACTATTATATTCGCCTTTAAAAATATAATAATTAAATATCTTAGATTTAATTGTTAAGGAATCATTATGATTTGACTCATATATGTGTGTGGTGTAAAGATGTTGATTAATCTATGTGGTCTGCAGGGCAGATATGTGCGGTGCCAAGCCTACGCTAGTGGCCCTATGAGTATCCCTGAGGCATCTCATGACAATTGCCCACAAAAAACAGAGAAATGCCATGTCCTCATGGCAAGAAGTATGCATGCATGACTGTTCGAATGTCGGAAAGGAGTGGAGATGCCGGGCCAATTAGTAGTGTGAATCCCCCAATATCTCCTGCCGCAGTGAAATCTTTCGAATAATGAAATAGCTGTCAGAGCAAGACATCGGACGGTTTCAATTCGTCCAAATATGCATCGTCCGATGTGACCCTTGCCTGCAGAGGTCCAATTGCCATAGCCATAGTGATTTGGCTGTGACCGTCGTAGTAGATCCTTCTCTTGTATGCTCAACTCAGTGATTGTGTGCCACAATAGTGCAGTGGGGATAACAGGCCAAATTGCAGTGATGTTCTCCGCTTGCTGAGTGGCGATTTGACGTGGGAGCGTGGAGAGTAGACCTGTGTTCTTGGTGATGGGGGCCTTGCTGCCGCTTGGTTTCTCTGCAGTTTTCTCCATAGTGTCTCTCCGCAATCTTCTCCGCAGTCTTCTCCGCATTTGCCTGTTGTAGTTCCTCCTCTTACTTAACTGAGTACTCTGGCTGAGTGGCTGACTGAGTGGATGACTGAGTGGATGACTGAGTGGATTGGTGAGCTGGCTGAGTGGCTGGCTGAGTGATTGGCTGAGTGACTTGCTGAGTGATTGACTAAGTGACTGACTGAGTGACTAGCTGAGTGACTAGCTGAATGGCTTGTAAGGCCTCAAGTCTAGCCCATTCTTGACGTATGTAGGCCGCTCGGTCTTGAAGGATTTTGGCTTGCGGTAGGAAGAATTGAGGGTCTGATTTGCTAGCCAATTGGATACACTCTTGGGCCTTGACGTCGTACTCCCATGGGTAGCATTCTCTTGTATGCCATGGGCCGTAGTACTCGGTGCGGTACTGCTCATGTAGGGTCTGCAGGAATGCTTGCATTGTGATATCGACAGGCCTATCAAAAGGATCGATCTGGACGTGGTGTTTTGTCAAAAGATACTCGATGACAGCGAGTGTGTTGGAGGTCCGGCTTGAAGCGTTGCACTATTAGGTGTTTGATGCAGGCTTTACGTAAACGTGTGGTGTAGACGTAGCTCGTAAAAGAGACGTCTACTACATCATAGGATCAAGTGGAATTAGATCTTAAGGTGTTGCTACCAATTGTTAAGGAATCATTATGATTTAACTTATATATGTGTATAGTGTAAAGATGTTGATTAATCTATGTGGTCTGCAGGCAGATATGTGCGGTGCCAAGCCTACGCTAGTGGCCCTATGAGTGTCCCTGAGGCATCTCATGACACTAATATATTTAACTTATAAATATATCTTATTATATAAATCTATACGCTACTTTAAATTTCTTAATAGTATTATTATATAATTCTATTTTAACTTTAAATAATAAAATAAAAGCGAGATTAATTTAAAGATATTTATTATTTTAGTAAATAGAAGAAAATTATCTTTCTTATTAATAACTTAATCTCTACTATTATAAACGATTTTAATTTTAAAAAACTTATTAAAAACTTAATTATTAAATCGAGTAATATTCTTATTAAGAGTATAAAGAATTATCTTAAATATATAGAAATTAGCTATTTAATATAAATTAAGATTATTATAAATAGTATTAATTAGCTAAGTAATAGAGTTATCTAATAATTACTTAATAGATTAATTAATAGCTTTTTATTCTCTAAAGCTTATTAAAATATTATTATTTATATCTAATAATCTTTAAGCGAATTTCTTTATATTAATTTAGCTTTAATTAATTAGATTAAAATTTCGAAATTTTATTCTTTTTATAAGTCTAAAAATTTAAATATCGTTTTAAAGATAAAATACTCTTAATGTAATTTAAGCGATATAATCTAACTTAGCACTCTTAATAATTAAAAGAATTTAATAAAAGTTATTATAGAAGTATATAACTATACTATTAAAAGAAGTAAGATTCTTTTAAATATTTTAGAGTATATAATTAACGGTCTCGATATCGTAGTAATTTTATATAGAGATCTTATCTTAGAAAATAAGCTTAATTACCTTTAATAATTAAGCTAAATTAAACTTTATTAATATATTATAATTAAATTAAATAATAATATTAAAAGAAATCTTAAAGCGAGAATAAGTAATAATATTATTTTAAAGAAAAATAAAGATAATATTAGATAAAGTTATAGTAATAACTATCTTAGAGTTATATCGTACTCTTTATAATATAATATTCTAAAGTATAGTCTTATTAATATCTTTATAGTTATTAAGAAAGAAGAGTTAACTATTAAAATAAGAGATCGCGTTTTAAATAGCGTTAATTATAGCGATTTAATCGTTATTAAAACTTATCTATATCTACTTTTAAATATTAATTTAATAACTATATTCTTCGCGTAGAAGTCGATTTTAATTATTAATATAATATTATTTATAGTTTTATTAAATCGTAAATAGATTAAAGTTAATAATAAGATTAATATTCTTTATAGAGCTAATATTATTTTTCTTTAAGCAAATTTAAATTAAATAAAGATAGAAATCTTTAGCGATAATTTATTTATATTATATATTATTTAATAAAGAAAAAATATAATATTAAATTTAAAAAATATAAATAAGATTATTAAATAATCTAAATAAAGAATAATATATATTAATTAAGAAATATATATAAAGTATAAAAGAAGAATTAAATTATTTATAAATAAAAAAAGAAAAAATATATCTAACGCGAAAAGTTTTAATAGTTAGAAAAAGAATATTATATTAAAAAATATCGCGATATTTTAAAATTATTATTAGCGCGATAATCTTCTCTTTCTATAATTTAAAATACTTTAACTTATTAAAGAAATTACTAAGAAAAAATATATCTAATATAAAAAGTTTTAATATATAAAAAAAGAAATATTATATTAAAAAAAGTTATAATATTTTAATATTATTATTAACGCGATAAGTTATTTATATTATATTTAAAGTATTTCTATTTAATAAAAAAAAAATTATCTATATATCTTAATTTATAATTATTTTATAAATTTAAAGAATTATCGAGTTTATATTATAGTAGAATTATTATAAAGAAATCTTATAAGATATATTCTTCTTATTAAATCGTTACTTTATTTAATACTTAATCTTATTTAATATTATTATAAAATAAATCTCTTATTATATAGATATTATAGTAGAAAAAAAGAATATTATTATTTATTATATATAAGTCTTCGAAAAATATAGAGTTTAATATATTTAGAAGAAGATATTATAAATAGAAGAGCTTTCTAATATTTAAATTAATATAATATATTTTTATAATAATATCTCTACGTCTCTAACGTAAACTTTATTCGAATATATCTCGCTTATTCTTTTTCTAGATATATTACTTTAATAAATCGATATAAAAGAGATCTTCTATTTATCTTCGCTATTAATATTATTAATTTAGCTAAAAGAAGACTATTAGCTTAATTTAGCGTTTTTATACTATATTAATTATCTAATTTAAATTATTATTATTATTAAATATTATATCGTATTAATTTAGAAGATAAATAAATAATTATTTAATAGAAGAATTATAATTATATAATTTAAAGCTAAAAATCCTCTAATAGACTTTTATAGAGCTTATTTATTATATATCTTAATACTCTTAAATCTCGTTTATCTAATCTAAGTTTATATTATTTTAATTTATATCGCTTTTATACTCTATTCGAAGATTAACTTAATCGCTATCTTTATAAATATATTTAAAAATATATTTATAAGCTTTAATATTAATATAAATCTTTATATTAATATAAGCGTTATATTTAGTTAATAAATAAAGACTATAAAATATTACTTAGTAATTCTATTTAGATTTATTATTTAATATCTTAATAAATCTATATTAATAATATATAAAATATTTAAAGTCTAATTTAAAGATAATATAATCGCTAAAGTTCTTCGAAAATTATTTATTATATATATTTTTATCTAAGTTTTAATAAGATAAAATAATATCTATTCTATTAATAGTATATTAGCTATAATTCTTATAAAGTATATATCTAATAATAATTATATAAAGATTAGAAAATAAATTTTAATTAGAGATCTTAGTATTAATAGCGATATTAACTTTAGCGACGCTAAAGAATTAATCTTTAGAGTATAATATAATAAGAATATAGATATATAATAAGTCTTATTTTTAAAATTCTATAATATAGATATAGATAAAAACTCGATTTATTACTTATAAAGTTAATTAGAATTAAAGCTAATTAATATTTTAATTAATTATATTTCGTCTTTATAGAGATAAAAAAAAAAATATATATATATAGAGCTAATTAATAGAAATTACGATATATAATAAGCTAAATTATATTAAAAGTATCTCTAGAAACTATAATCTATATTAATCATCTAATTAATATATCGTTTAAAAAATTATTTTATTAAATAAAAAGAGAGAGAGCTATTATATTATAATAGAGGGTAAAAAAAATAGAAATATATCTAGTATCTTCTTCTTTAGAATATTATTTATAAAGATCTTTAGCTTTAATCTAAATACTCTAGCAATTAGATTAAACTAATTAATAACTTATTTATTAAATAAAAGATTTTTAATAATCTTAATCTATTTTAGATTATAAATAAAAGTCGTAAAGAGATTTAATTAGTCGAACTTAGTAGATAAGATAATAATATTCTAATAGAATTATTTTATAAATTATAGATCTTCTTAATAAAAGAAAGAGAGAATAATTTATTATTTATTAGTTTAATTATCTATAATAACTTTATTAATATAAATATTAATAATTACTTAATAGATATTAATTCAAATAATCTTCTAATTCATCTTTAGTTAATAGAGTTTATTACTTTTAATAATTATATAGATATCGTAAATAAAATATTATAATAATCTATTATAGTAAAAAAAAGCGATTAGACTTATTAAAACGACTCTATATTATATATTTATAAGAAATTAACGATTAATAAAATAGAAGAAATAGATAATATAGATCTATAATATAAGATAAGTATTATTTATATAAAGCTATCTCGATTAATAATTCCTCTAACTTATAAAATAATTTCGCTATTTCTACTTCGCTAAATAAAAAAACTCTTATTTAATATATTATCTATATAAGATATATTATTATATTATAACTATTTATTAAATAAAAAGATAATAGAATAGCGTAGAGATATATAGGCTAAATACTAATATAAAATACTAAATCTCTTATTACTTTAAGTCTCTATTAATATATCTAATAGATTATCAATATTACTCTTTTAGATAATAGCGATTTTATCTAAAATAAGACGATTATAAGTATATAAATTATAATATTATAAATTCTTATAAAATAATTTATAATCTCTTATATTTAGATTAGTCTTTAATCTTTTAAATATTAATTTAAGAATATTAATATAGAGATTAATACTTTTAAGAAATATAATTATTTTATAATAAAGTATTTAATTAGTATAACTATAATAGTTATATCTAATAAAGTTAATATAAAAAATATAATTAAGAGAAAGTTATATCGTATTAAAAATTAATTTTAGATATTATTTATAATATAGATTTAGCTAAAGATTAATTTTTTACTCTTTAAAGATATTAGAGTAGATATATAAGTAGTAATTACTCTCTAAATTTTATATATATAGAGTAATTAAATAATTAATAGTAATCTACTATAAGATTATAGAGATTATATTATTATATTAAACGCTATAATAGCGAAATTCTTTATAATTATTAATAAAATTTAAGATCTCTAATATTAAAGAATAGAGAATTTAATTAATAATATACTCGCTAAGATTAATTAAATTATTTATACTCGTTTTAACGCCCTTATAACTCTATTCTATATTATTTACTTTTT